AATAATTCGAATTGAGCCATCGATTGTATAACTTATTTATATACATAATACGTTTATTAAGAGTTTACTACGATGTGCCGAGTGATTTAATCGTTTTCTTTGGTCGCGAGGACCTAACGAAGGACGAAGGACACGTTGTGAAACTTTGGGTCTGGGATCGTCGTTCTTCGACAGGTCCCGATAGAATGTGTCGTAAGAATTTACAAAACGACGCCGTTGAACTGGCAAGCAATAACGACTATTATTATTTGTATAGGATTTCTAATGACGGCGGTCGTTAAATAACAATAAAAGCGTGAGGATATTACTAACGACGAGAACAGACGAAAATGTTTCTTGTAGAGTGTAGATATCACTGTTTAGTGCTCGAATAAAATCTATTTAAGAAAGTTACGGATCGCACGGCTGCTTTGGAAGAAAATCTGAAATAATTATATTACATTTGTCCATTGGATTATCTGATTGCAAATGACCTGATTTCAAACACGACATTGGTATTCTTTCAAAGTATCTGTCCCGCACAAGTTTGATTTATTAGAACAAGTAGAAAAATCGTTAAAATATCTTTTAAATGCAAAAATAACTCGTACTTTAATCTCAGTACTCGTGATATTGCGCGAAAACAATATTTTCATTAAGATTAACTTTTCGTTTATTTTGGAATGAGACTTCCATTCATTAATGAACTTGCGACTCTCGGTCTAATCTATAACGAAGATATCGGAATCTTGTGATATTATTGCAGAGAATTTATCATTAATTTTTTTCAACCATTCAGTGCAACGGATTTTGTATTGCCGCCATTGATGAGGCAGATGTAAAAAAATGTTTGCTTCATTCCAACGAAACTAACAATATCCTGTACAAACACAGTAGACTATAATTCCGTTACAAAGTTCTGGTATCGTTTATTCACGATCTTCCGAAAGCAATAATTGTATATTGTAAACAAAAGAAAATTATCTTAATTACAGCTCACACGACCGTCAAGTGGCGCCATCTCGACGACCGCGCGACAAAGTTAGAATATAATTGTGTTTGAAGCTTGATTGGAAACTGGACGCTATTTCGTTATTGTTCATGTATTATAATGCTGTACGATTTTATAGCAGAAATATCGTGTTTTAAACACTGTTGCGTTTAATACGACAACGTTATTAAGAGTTTGATTACTTGCAAGAATTTCGATCAGTTTTGAAAGGTTCGACGAGTGGCGCCATCATGGCCGCCGCTCCATGAAGCATTCACTCGATCGTCTTCCGTCCTTGTGGGAGGACCTTACTGCCGTGCGTGCTTGCTTGCTTCCACGGGGTTTATTGTGTGCGTGCCTCGTCGGTGGCTTCAAGATGGCCTGCAGACTGCTGCCACTGCTGCTGCTGCGCGCCATGGTGTGATCGTTTTGATTCAACGGTGCCTTGTGTCCCACAGTAAAACGTTCCGTGAAAAAGAGTTGGTCAGTGCCAGGACGACGACGACGTGCCTTGACCGGCTGTGAACTGTCCGAGGCAACCTGAAAATGTGATGATCGACTGTGAACCGGTAAGTGGTCACGATCTTAATTTACACATTGCGGCAGCCTGAAACCGCCGGTTGCGTGTCCACTGGGTGTTCGGTGACGCAGTCGTTTTTAGAATCGGGATCGGTTATGATTGAAGGTGGCCAGAAAAATAGGAAGGGGGTAGCTTATGACACACAGTTATCTAAAAAGGACAGCAACAAACCGTATCTGTTACGACGTTATTCCAGAAGACTACGTAAGCAGCAGGATAAAACGACAGCGTTCAGCCGCGATTGCTTTTTACGACTACACACGTTGATAGGTTATGATGTCATAATCGTGAACAGCTTGTCGAGTCTCTTTGTCCTTCTGTCCACGAAAACGTTCGTTAACTTCGTCTGCTGTTCCCTGTGTATCCGTGAGTGGTATAGTGCAGTGGGGTAACTAACATTAGGAGGAAAAAAAACAGACATTGCATTCCTCGCAAGAACGAGGGACGAAAACGGAGCTCCGTGGCTGGGATTCTTCATTGCACTTTAAGAGTATATACAGTCCGTAGCGTAATATTTTCCGTCCGTGAGTGGGAGAACTAACCTTACCTTTCCGATTGGGCGAAAGACGCACAACGGGGTCGCTATTGGTAGTCCTTTCTACATACCTGGCACGCAAAAGATACCTGCACGACTCGGAACTGGCCGGAGCTTCGAGGAGGCATATCGAGGCTTTTCCAATCTTCTTTTTCTTTTCATCGATTCCTGCATTTTCCAAAAATCCGTTCACGTTCGAACATCCTTCGGGAAGGGCATGCGCCTTGAACCACCCACATTGCCAAAAATATCGTTGCTCCGAATTGCATGCCGGAAGGACAATTCCATAATAAATTCGTGTTCGAACCGATAGAAATGATATTCGGGACGATAGAACGGTTTTTTTTATTTCCTGTTCGTGTCGAATAAAACATACCCGGGGTTCGAGCTGAACGAAGAGAAATATTTGTTACGAGCGACCAGCAGAAATATAGCCGACTGCGCGACACACACAGACCATTGGCCAGCCTGTGTGTACTTATTTGACGTCAATTTAGATCGGAACACCTTGAAACGTTTGATTCATTGTCTTGTGATATAGTCTCTTCTTTGAAGGATTAATTGCAGACTGTATAGGACACGCTTAGTGACTGCATGGAATGGTACCGTGCTGTACGGCAAGGTAAATAATAACAAAACTCTTTAAGCGTTCGTTATATGTATGTGTATATGGAACGCGAGCGTGGCATCATGAATATACTGTATTCCACGAGTCTGACTTCCGGTGTACTACGTTCGCACGTTGTTTTCCGTATCTGCAATGAAATGCTTATTTTTCTGTCTAACATACATTTTAATTTCTTTTCGAACAAAATTATTTTTATAATTCTAATTGGGAATTATAATAATCATCATGGTTGGATTAACGTTATGAGAGTAATTGTATCTATTAACCATACACCATATTTACTGCAACTTGTCCCAATGTTGATACATTGTCAATGTTCTCTTTTAATAGGATAATGACGATGTTTCAGGCACGTTCAAATATTTACACAGGAATTTCGAAACCTGTTTCGTGGAAAAGAATGCAGGTCTGATAATTGACCGCGGAAAAGAATTTTCGTCCTAATCTGTTTGCTCGTGTTGATCCGTGTACGAAAGACATTGTGGGCGACGCGTTTCCGGTTATCTTATCTCAGGAGTTTAGTGGAAAAACGGTTGCATTGACGCAAAACTATTTTACTTGTTATTGCTCGTTAATGACGTAAATATTGAAATGATGATTGGTACGTGTTTTAAAACGTAAGTAACGATTGCACGGGGAACATGATTTTCACGAACGTGCGTGTTCGTCAACATTGTCGTGCGCCGAAGGGATTCGCAACTTTGTTATCGAAGTATTTATCGTTCAAGGCAATAAAACGGAATTGCTCCGTGCAATAAAACGGCAGTTGGTGGTAGGTAGTTATTACTTGAACCATTAAGTCACCTTACCGGGTAATTCCATGATAATGGACCGAAATAACGATTGTTTCAAATATTTCCCTTCGATAGTCTTATTTCCCCGTAATTTTGTTTTCACGTGGGACGATAATTAGCATTCAAACCTCGACTGGACAGAATCAACGAAAACTGTTACGACTCCATGTAGTTTCCCAATTCGCAACATTGTTGGTTTATCAACCGCAAGCCCGAAATTGATGTACGCCTAGCGTCGAGTCACGTCGTTATCGATATCGCGACGGACGACAGTCGTCACTGTTTGCGCACGTGACTCGTCGGTCTTCATTTTCACAGACAGTTCGGCAATAAATCATTTAGCCGAAGAATCAAGTTTGTTAAGCGATTTTTTTTTCATTTTCCCCGGCTTAAACGGGTTATACAATCTATTTACTTTAATAACGAAGAAGTTAATTACACGGATGACTTTGTTGCCAATCGGAGCACCTGCAATCTAATAATTTACCACATGATATTAAAAAAATATTCTACGCCAAATATAGCCACAAGTACCCTTGTTAGATTCAAAGACGGATCGACTGGAAAATCCATGTATCCACGACGATTGGAGTGGATACGGAATTTATACGAATCCCGTTACGAAATGGGGGATAGGAAAGAATACAGAACAGAAAAGAGGATGCATGATATTCAGCATTGGAAGAGCACAGATATCTTGTTATCATGCCCAGATATCGTGTACGGGGCATTCTTTCGCGGTATAACGGCGAATACGGTTGTGGCCCCGTGGAAAACTTTCTAATACCGTTTTCTGATGTTTTCAATTTGACCGTCCCTCTTAGCGCGCAGACGGCGAGCCACTTGTGGTAACATTGCGTTTTCTAGAAGACGCTGTCCAGAGATTGTATTCGCGATCGGTTGAGAAATATCTTCGCTGTATATTTTACCAAACGGATTCGTAAGAATCTGATGATAACATGTATGTACGGTACAAAGTTGATTCATTCTAATCAGGACGGACAATCGTTGAACCTTGCGGTCTATTCCATGCAAACAAGGAAAGTCACTTGAGCAGAAACCTGTTCGCTGAAGTGAAAAACGCAATGAAGTTTCATGTGTATTACATTGAATTCCTGCCGTGCCGTGCAGTTCGGTACGGATTGATCGCATGCACAGCAGTCCAATATTTTTCACCAGGGAAGAGACGATATTGCGAGTGTAAACATTGGGTAAACCGGAATACGTCGGCTCGGTATCGTCGTTTCTCTGCCTACGGGTGGGTGAATACTTCGAGTGAAAAATGGTGAAACGAGAGAGCAGACTACAGAGACAGAAAGAGAGAGAGAGAGAGAGATAGCAAACGGCAGGACGGTAGAGGAGTTGGAGGAAAGAAACAGGAGCGGGAGAGAGACGAAAACAAAGCGAACGCAGCCGCCAGGGCAACAATGGCGCATCGACCCGCCAAAACTCGCGCTGATGCGCAGAAACACGAGCTACGAGACTCGTCTGCTCGAGAAATATTCGAACCATTCACTTCTATTCTCTACTATACGGTTATTTCAGCGACGTAAATGATTTTCTATAGAAAAAAAATTGCATCCAGGACAGATCGTCTTCGCTTCGAGAATACTGCTCTCGATGGAGGCGATTGAAAAGAGAAAAAAATGGCGTGTGTACTCGCTTGATGCGCAAAAGCATGCGCAGTCGGGTCTCTAGAAACGACCGACTCTTGACTAACGTAGTAGCTGCACTCTAGGCTTCTCTCCTTTCGAACTGGTACGACGGTTTTCGTTGGATTGACTCTATTTAAATGTAGATAAACTGATTGTAAATATCGGTGAATATGTAGTTGTGCTTAAGTGTTCTTTTTATGAACCAATCAGAAAACAGGACTTTATTCCGAACAGATATCTGCGTAAGGTTTCTAGGGATGATTGGTTTCTGACGAATAGACGTATTTAGCTTTGCTTTGTGACTAAATAATCGTCTCTGATCAGTATTGGTAGCAGTTGTACGGATTGGACTAGAAAGCAAAGATAATGGGCATGTAATTAAAATTTAGGATGATCCAATGCAGTAATTCTCGTAAGAGAAAGACACAAGAAACTAGCATGGATCTATTTCCAAAGCAGTTATTTCGATCGAACTGTGCTTGGCCTACAGGGTATGACGCGCCATCGTGACTAATACAGACGGAAGGAGTTAAAGCGGGGTCTGCGTCGATGAAGCGTGTTCATTTTGCAACTTTATACTTTGCTGTTACTGGCAGCCGCCTACATGGTAGGACTTTTTGCTTTTGTAATCGAGGGTAAAAATAACCTTGCTATCATCGGTGAAAAAAAGACGTGCCACATCGAGTCGCGTCAGGATGAGAGAGTAGACGTGCCCTAGTAGAGTCGAAAGCATCCGTCGATTCAGGACGCATCCTTCGCACCAGATGAATTTTTCTTGAACAATTACTCGGTCGATGGACAATATTAACCGGATTCGTGAATATTTATGGCATTGCATTATTTGATTCAACCGCAGAAGGTTAACAATTTCCGTGGCTTGGTCTGGGGATTAATTTCGAACCGATACGCAGTAGGACTCTCTTCCAGCGATCGCTGGTGGTACCCTGGAGGACTCGTCGTCCCAGTTCGTACCCGTGCACAGGGCAGGGCTGAGAAGTATGGTCCAGGATGGATGAAGGTGCCGTGGTTGCCAGGGCAACCGGCATTGATCCCTCCCCTCTTGTTCTACCGTCCTTTTCGCCTCTCCTCCACTACACATTATTGGTCTCTCTCTCTCCTGTCTCTCTTTCTCTGTCAGTGAACACACACACACACACACACACACACATCTATGAATGCGTACACGGATTCAGGAAGAACAGCAAGATACACCAAGAGACAAGGAGAACAGTCTTTCCTGTTGCTTGGTCTTCTGCATAACCATTGCCTCCCTCTTCTTGGGCTTCTCTTTATTCTTGTTTCCAGAATCTTTTATCTGGCTGAATCGAATCCAATGTAAATCATTCGACATCTGAGTCGCAAGGTGAAGGTTGATCG